CACACACACACACACACACACACACACACACACACACACACACACACACACACACACACACACACACACACACTCTCACGTGCGCGCGTGTGAGTGAGCACCTCGCACATACACATATACTTGCACTCTCCCATGAACACACAACGCACTGTGTATGTTCGGCAAAACCCACTGGTGTTGGATTGGAAAGGTTGCAGTGGCAGTGTAGCTGGGTGGACAGTGGGAGCACCTCCAAGTCACACTTCCCCCTGACCTCGGAAAGGCAACTATATTTCATGTTCGGTAGAAGAAACAAATAGCTGCCTTGCACATGAAGACATTTCCCAAGAAGTCCCAATTCATTTCTCGACATCTCGTGCAGGTACACGTGGTTAACCGGGGGTGTTTTTTTCATCGAATTTTGAACTGAAACTGTCACATTGGCCAGATTTTTTGCTTTTTTCCTTCTTTTCCTTTTTGCGTGACATGCAGGTGCTTTAGGGTCCGTCGTGCATCCAGTTTTGACATGTTTACTCCAGGCCGGTGGAGACCAGAAACCCACGTTATTATAGTGGGACGAGAATGCAAATCGTGCACGTTATTGGGGCATGCAAGCACTTTTTCACTGAAAATAAAAAAGTTAAGAGCATTGTGAATCCATCTCTCAGATCATGACTACATTGTGAAAGAGCCAATTCAGACAACTCTAAGTTCAAGTAAAGGAGGGACGGGGAGCGAAGAGGGGGAGGGGCAGGGGGGAGGCAGAGGAGAGGGGGTATGCATAGGGGAGAGAGATACGTTCTGCCAATCAATCAATCAATCAATTGGGATACATGAGGGTAAAAAAAATGCCCTCTCAGATCCTGACTGCATTGGAAACGAGCCGACTCAGACAATTCTAAGTGAGGGAGAAAAGCGGAGACAGGGAGGAGGGGAAAGCAGGGTGCCAGTCAATTAATTGAGATACGTACAGGTAAAATGTCTTTCTGACAGGGTCGTAACAAAGCTTGGGCATGGCAAATGCATCCATAAGCTTGAACTGAGAATCCTCCTTCCCTGCACCCTCCGCTAAGGAGGTGATGACTTCCTTGATGACCTCCAAGCTCACAATCGTTGACGTCACTGCAAATGGCATGTCAAAACAGCACTCGACATGAAAATGGCTGATGAATAGAGCTGCCTACTTGGAAATGACAACACACATGAAACTGTTAACCCACCAGTCCCGGAACCCTTCCTCCAGAGATCGAGGCCCGTACATTCGCAGCCCTAAGGCTACGGTATAGTGGGCTTCCGTGTCTGTGTCAAGGTGTCGCACTTTTGGCGGGGGGGGACCAGGACGCGAAGTGGGTTCTTAGGGGGCAAAAAAAATTGGGGGACCGGTCCTTGGAAAAAATGCGGACTACCTACAGCTAGCTCTGGTAGAACCGGGACTTTTAGAAAAAGGAAGGACCAGTCCTCGGGTGGAAGTGGTCCCCAAAAAGAAGTGCGGGGCGTTGGACCGGTCTTCGGGTAGAAGAAGACCCCCAAAAGAAGTGAGGGCATGTGAACTGCAAAAGGGCCCTCAGGCCCAGGCGTTGAGGCCCGTCTTCTGAAAACAGGGAGCTCAGGCGCAACGAAACAGGAGTTTTGCAAGTGGCAACTTTGGCGATAAATTTCTCTAGAGGTGATAAATTTCTGCTAGAAAAGAAAGGGGGGTATTGAAAAAAAGGGGGGAGGGGAGAAAAATGGTAAGTGAAAAATGACCCTACGAACGGGGGATAACATTTATGGATCACTGGCCCCGCACTGCACCACAGTGAGGCGTCCTAGTCCACATCTACGTGAGTATGTCACCCCACCCCAAAGGGGTCTGATTGAACCTGAGGGCGGGGTGTAAGTATGCCACCTTGGAGGGGTCTGATTAAACTTAAGTATGCCACCCCAAAGGGGTCTGATTAAACTTTATGCCACACCAAAGGGGTCTGACTAAACATAAGTATGCCGCCCCAAAGGGGTCTCATTAAACTTAAACCACCAGTACTTCCTAAAGCCGTGCCCGTTAACGCGCCACGATTTTAAGAAACGTACGGGCCACTACAGGAGCACCCAAATTCATTCAACTAGAAACGTTTCTACTCTATTTTTTTCCCGCAGCCGATAGCTGGGCCAAGTACTGGTGGTTTAAGTATGCCACCCCAAAAGGGTCTGATTAGACTTGAGCATGCTACCACAATGGGGTCTGATAAAACTCGAGGGTGGGGTGTAAGTATGCCACCTTGAAGGGCTCCGATTAAACTCTTGAATGGGGTGGCGACCCTAGATCATAAGGTATCACTTTTGAGGTCCACTTCTCGGCTTAATCCCTCTTTCTTTTAGTTTCCTAATTAATTAATGTCGTTATTGGAGTCTATTTAATAACGCCTGCTAGTTGAAGCGACATGGGCCCTGGAACCCAGTGGGTCCCTGAAAAATTAACCCGCTGGTCACCCTTTGGACCAGGTTGGCGCCACCCAGCCTTACAGGAGGGTGGACCTACTCCTAGGACCCTCGATAGTGACCAGGAGGCAGGAGTTTGAAGTTCAGACCGTACTTTTACGCCCTGTCTGTCCAGGTGCATGCAAGGGTTATGGGACAAGCGTTTGATTAGGTACAACTGACAGGATGCCGGGGGGAATGGAACGGCACCCGTGTTTGATTTTCTTCTAATTTCCGTCATCTTATTTTATTTATCGAGTCTCCTTTCGTTTTCTCTTTTCTCTGCATTTGTTTGTTTGCCTCTCTTAAAGTGGCCGGGCTGTCAAGTTGTACAAAAGGGGGTGAGACCCCAGACCCAGCTTCAGAGAGCCCCGGTCACCCAACCATCTGAAGGGTGGTTTACTTGGGTGACGGGTCCCCTAATCCACGCGGACCGGGGGCTCGAACTGTAAGGTCATGACTTACCCTTTTAGGTAAMATTGGGACAAAGACGCACCAGGGTTATGTATGGGTTGACGGTGCGACCAGGTGCGTGAACTGCACTGCAACTAGATGTTAAAAGTGGCGGTGTGACTATCGTGTTTGCCATGCAGGTGATGTTCAGTTTCGTTTATTACGCTTGTGCTCTTAATTCTGCTGGCTACCATCTTCACCCGACTAGAATGTACAACCATTATAGCTGCATTTAGTGCAACTTTCAGTCTACGTGCAGCCACAATAACCGTACGCTACATTTGGGGTAAGACTGCAGGCCCAGGTCGGGACGAGGCCTGGGCTGGACCAGTCACCACAGGAGGAAACTGGTCCAGCCCAGCTACGGACGGACGGACGGAAGTTTGCAGTTTTGTCCTTTTTCTACACAGGCAGCCCAGCTCATGACCCAGCCCGTGCGGCTGAATGGTACACACATGTCACTGTTGATAAACAGGTCTTGAGTTTGAATCCTGGTGAAATCAGATGGAAGTTTGCTGGGCCTAAAAAAAGGACAAAACGTGGAAACCAGTAACTCAAATAGGTATGTGACAATGGGCCTCGCTCCACTGCGAGAACACTCTAAATGTATCTGCCCGGTAAACCGTAGGCAGAGAGGGAGAAGAGGACAACAAACGAGGGGCTGTGACAAACTTTCGTCGGAGTTTCACCGACTCATCAGGAGGCTGAAACCTCAACAGTCTGTAGAATCCCCTCACTGATTACACTGTAAGTGATAATCCACCTTAACCAAAATCAAAGTAGACTATCACTCACCCATATATAATTAAATAACTTAAAAATTAAAAAATATGTATTAAAATTTAAAAAATAACAAATAAATTAAAAAAAAAAAGAAAACCCTTGTAAGGAGGTTATTTATTAACATAGTGGACGGAAATGGAGAGGTAAGGAAGGGAGAGAACAGAGAAAAATTGGGGCGGTTGGGAGCGTGCTCCTCAGTCCTCTAAAACCCTTCCTCCCATAGTTACAAATGCAAAAAACTTATATTTAAAATATAAACAAATACATAAAAAAAGCACTGTACTGATGTGCTGACGAGGCACGGCAGCATTGCAGAGAAAGAGGATAGGGAAGGTAGAATAAGGAGGAGGGGGGGGAGAGGGTGAGTTGCACAGAGGGGAGCGTTCCCTAGTGGTTAGTGCTGCCAGCCAATCGCCTAAACTCCCAGGGTGGGCTCAGCGTTAGGTAATGATAAACCCTAGACAATCCAAGTGGACCGTTTGCAACAACATAATAGACACTAAGAGGAGGGGAGGAGGAGGAGGAGGAGGAGGAGGAGGAGGAGGAGGGTAGAGAAGGAGCGAAAAGGAGGGAGAAGTGGAGTTAGTCCTGGCACCCAGTCTCCTAAACCTCTGGATTAGAAGTGAAAACCCCTAGCGTTTGCCCCCGAATAGAACGTACGGTCATTATCAGTGTATGTGGACCAAATATGGTCTAGATACGGCGATAATGACCCTGCGTTCTATTCGGGGGAAGACGGTAGAGAACCTCATTACTAAGCAAGTACACCACTAAAACCTCTTGGGAAAAAAAAAAAAAAAAAAAAAAAAAAAAAAAAGAAAACCCCTCGAAACCACACGGGGAGGAATTTCTACCCAGTGGGCGGGCGCCTCCTCTTCAGCAAGCCCCTCCATACGTAATAACCCTTCCTATTGCACCCCCTCTGCTCAGGCTAAGGGGGTTTAAGGGGGTTGCCTCGGAGGAACGAAATGATGCCCCATGGCCATTTTAGAAAGACCTGCTAAAAATATACAACCAAAGACACGACTGTTCAGTGTTCTTCTTCTCTTTTTTTTTTTTTTTTTGGTTCTGAACTTACGATTGATTTATACCAAGACTGCAATGAATTAAGCCACCAGTACTTGGGCCATACATCGGCCGTGGGCCTTCCCCGTTAACACGCCGCAGCCTTAGGGGGTCGGCCAAGGGAAGGTCCGGTCGTTGCGGAATGGCCGGGCTCCGTGCTTCCAGGCATGACACACACGGAAAAAAAAGGGCAGATGTGGAAAAAAAAAAAAAAAGGACTTCAGATGTGAAAAACGAAAGAAAA